TTATATTTCCCAAAAGGAGGCTGACAAACACGAAGCGATCTCGACGTATCCAATCGTTGTTAACTGGCCCATCATTTATTGCTAACTGGCTCGGTGCAAACGGAATAATGGTGGACACATAGCCGTGAGCCGATCGACGGAAGGAACGCGTGCAGTGCGGATTCGAGCGCATTGTTCGACAAAAACCTCCGGCCCAGTCGACAATTGGATTGTGTACGTAATTGTAACGATGAAATCTTTAAGGGATATTTTATGGCGACCGATGATTATTATACCTTACTGTTTTAATAACTAACTAATTTTGTATACATACAGCGTGTCGTTACCATCGCGACAATAAATGAACAGACGCCTAACGCTACTTGCCAATAATCATTAAAAAATATTAACGTTAAACAAAATCCATAATTAAAAAAAAATATTTTTCAAACAAACTAATTAAGTAAAAAAGAAACAAAATTTGTAACATCCTATATAGCTCGCGCCACAGCGTCGCATTACAAGCCTCTCCTTCTAACAGTATGTTTTGTCTCTTTTAAATTCATTCAACCCATTCATATGCTTTGTGACCTTTACAAATGATCTTTACGTTACAGTTTAATACGTAAGGGTGTTTTAAAATTGTTTGTTATTATATAATTGAAAATTTAATAACTCTGTAAATATTGATGTTTAAAGAATGTAAATGTTTAATACAATTTTAAAAAGTTATCCTCTATATGTGTGTTCATTTATTGTCGCGGTGGTAACGACACGCTGTATATCATTAAAAAGAATAACAAGACCGCAGAATTCATTGCCGTTCTATTCTGGACAGATCTAATATGAATCGGCGGTAGTATTTTCGCGTCCAAGTAGAGCTTAAAACAACCCTTGATTGAATGGTAAAATATTGACTTTCATTTTGGTTTTTATGAAAATTTAATATCCTACTCCCAAATTGACACATTGGCGATGTGACTAGTGAAGCATAATATGAGACGCAAATTTACAATATCTCGCTTGAAATTTCGAACGACTTTCGGCTTCAAATAATAATATAAGCATAAACTATTCGTTTTAACTCATCTAAATTATGACAAAATTTTAATTTAATTCAATGATGTAAAACTCCAGATAGACAAAGACCTGCAAATCCGGTGAAAAATAAGCTGAAGATCAAACAACGCCGCTGTTAAGAAATGTTACTTTAGAAATCATTCAAAAAAATGTTAAATAAATGTTTATAAACATTTCCAATCTCATACACCATGCCAATTCGTATAAATCGTGTTTACATTAGTAAAGACTATAAAATGATCTATTAAATAAAGTTATGATCCCGAAATTGTTTTATACACGCAACATGTATCGGGACATCAAAGTGTCTTCAACAGTAACGTCCTCATAATTTTCGATGCAGCTGACTTATCGTCCGTCGTGGGATATAAACAATAAGAGTTTGTCACAGTCTACAAAGTTTGAAAATCTGGAGGGGATTAAAAAAAATTGTTATTTATCAGATCAGCGCGCGTTCTACGTATATCAAGGAACATAGTCGCGGGCTGTAAATCAACTGGGCTCGCTCATTGCCAACTCCATGATTACAGAGTGTTGGCAACGTCCGCGGGAATAGACATCTTAACTACTCGAACAAGATAATTCCTAATCTCCCTCAAGAAAAATATATTAATTTTTAATTTAGTTCCTCTATTACTTCTTTGTTTATGAATGTCATATGTAAGAAATGTGTAACAATAGAATTAAACCTAGTCAAATCACTGAAGCTTACAATAACAATAAATTCTTGAATTAAATATTCATTCCAATAAACAAACTTGCACTAAAAAGAGTAGACTCAAATACTACATAATATGCATTATTTTGAGATTACCGCTGCCCAAGGACATATAGCTACTGATTGCTGTAGCAGTTGCGTTGTTAACCATTAAATAATTTGGGCTTGGGTACCGAAACGCAAAAGTATTATACTTTCATTTCCAGCTCGTCTTCTGTAAACCTTGAACTTTCTCGGTGAGCCTTTATTTAAGCTTTATCACGGTTAAATTTTGTCAATAAGATAATAAGTATTAGAATTTTTCTTCATGCATATGGAATTACTTCATAAAATAGGACTTTATTTTGTTTATTTTTTAATTATCTTTTATTTTCGGTCAATGAATTACTTCAAAATTTTTACAACTTTTTGTAAGTTGCCAACTTGCTCATGAAACTTGACGTGAAATTTTATTGATACTGAAAAGATTATTAAAATGGAGCAAATGTTGTCAAATGTTGCCAAATATTTGGAATAAAGTGGTTTATACGGCAAAAAGTTCTGTTCATAACTGTTTTCGGATAAATACAATACATAATAATTAATTCATTTATTTAATTAATTTTTCATATAAAAGATTAAGAGTTAGGAAATAAATTATCTATAACAATACAACTATAACAATACAACAAAAAAATACTAAACTGAATTAAAGACATATCTGCTAAACGTGGAGTATATTAGCATCAGATGCACTGCACCCCCAATAAAGCCGTTTGTATTAAAAGCCGCTCGACAAACATCAAAATATTTGCGCAGCTGTGACCACAAATTAAACTTTAAAGTGCGCGCGCATACAGATACATTTGATACGCGTCTCACCGCATTAGATCCGCGCGATTAGCATACCGACTAGAATCTCGCGGACCGACGTGTTTGCATTTGCACATTACGCCTGTTATGAGTATCTCCAAGGGTTGAGCGCGGCTAACGGGCTCGGCCTTAATTCGCCCAGTTCACACAAAGTGGCTCGTAAAAACCAGTGCAAGGGAGGCGACGCACTCGCGCACCTGATCTGGCGAAACTCGCGACAATTCGCCGGTACCCCGCCGGGCAATTCAATTACACCGGGAGATCCCTCATAAGCGGATCGTTTTTCCGCGTCATTAATTTTTCCGAACGACACGGGGCCCTCGCGATACGGCGGGGTGGGTCCGGGCGCGGCTATCTCGCGAGATAATGCTGATTTATGCGGGCGGGCGGCGGTCGCGATTTGTCGCGCGTCAAACGCGTCGCGAACGCCGCGTCGGCATCGGCGTCGGCTGGATGCCGCGTGCTGCCGCGCTCTCATTTGTGACGGTTAGTTGGCGAGATTTATGCTAATCGACGAGGCGGCCCGGATAAGCCCGCGTGACGGTGTGTGGCAAATTGTCTCCTATTGCGACTAAGCCGAATCCCCTTTGTTGCCGTCTCGATTCTATCGCGTTTTATGACCGTATCGAATGCAGCGATAATGCAATCGAAACGCTGAAAGATAACGCCGCGTGTCTATCGATACTAGTTTGTGTAGCGTATTCGCAAGTACTACCCCAAATACTACCGTTGATAATCGAAAATTTAGATTCACCTCAGTCAACGACTTTAAATATGCTTTATATAGTAGATATGTGTAACAATATCACAAATCGTAACATCGACAAAAAGGTTTGATGATTGTTCTGGGTTTCTTGGTTCGAAAATACATACTTATCAGCGAAATATTCATTCATATTCTCAGATGTCGTATTTTATGATGCATGGTGGGAAAAACTGAATGCCCGAAGTGTCGTTAACGCGAGAACATTATAAGTAATAAATAAGTGAGGTATTAATACGGCTTTATAGTCCGTGAAAGAGTCTGCATTGTTTGCGAACCGTAGTTCAGCGTTGTTCGCGTCCGTTTGTTTGTAGAGGTTTAACTTTAAATACTTAACGTTCTTATGAAATAATTTTACGCATTAATACCTTAGAAACAGATTCGTTATTAAAAATTAAGTCCAAGGTTAAGAGATTAATAAAATGGATTCAAGCTTGACGCAATATCCTTACTATCTTTTCCTTACTAATATTATAAACGCGAAAGTTTGTATGTATGGATGGATGTTTGTTACCCTTTCACGCAAATACTACTGAAAGGAATTTACTGAAACTTTACAATAATAAAGCTTATACATCCGAATGACACATAGGTTATAATTTATATACATATTTTTTATGTATATCTGTCTTTCTGTCTGAATGTTACGCATTCAGCCTAATCTACGCAGACGTAATCGCGAATATTGTTTAAATTGATTTTTTCTTTATGAACAGTGATAGGGATAATAGGGATACATAATTGTGTATATAAAAAAATAAATTTATAATTACTTCATGGTTGACACTATTCAAGGTGCTTAAACTTTAAATCTACATATAAATAAAATATAATTACAAATGAAACTTAGAGTTTGTGTGTTTGCTACTCAAAATTGTATATAGTGTATGTTGTGCTATCATGTAAGGAAAAATGTTGTTACATACTGAAATTTTCGTCTCATACGAGTTTTCTTTTACTGTTCTCTCTTTTTTATCTTATACGAAATCTCTCATACGAAATATGCATAAAGTATGTATGCATATATTTCATAGCACGCCGTGAAACAATAGAAAAAAACAAAGAATATCGCTTGCAATCATAATCCGAAGTACGTATTTGCGAATTTGTCACGATCGCCGAGCTGTCGTCGTAATTTACGTCGCCGACGATAAGGCTGCTCCGCTGCACGGCCGGCGGCCACTGGAGCCGATAGCAATGCGGCTAAGCGCGATAAAGAATTGCTGTTTTTTTCTCTCAGTGTCTCACCAACCGGGCCCGGCTATTCGGAATAAGAGCGAACAAATGTACTTATCGCGTTACGGGGGCAATCAATGCGCAGTTTTCGAATCGCATTCGACGTTAAGCGCGACACCGCGCGTTCGGTGGCGGGCGGTAGCGGTTGTTGGTGCGGCGGCAGATTGCCCATTGTTCCGCAGCGTGGCGAGACCGACACGCCTCGCGCCGCCGCTCACACCGCCACCTACCTTATCGGCCCGCACTCGATACCACCACGGTCTCGTTAACGGACGCCTTCTACCACCGGTGGTGTTTGATTTCCCACCGAGGACAGCGAGTACGAAACACAGAAACACAGAGGCCTCGCGTTACTTTGTGCAAGCTGTTTACCTTCCGGTCTTCGTGATGATCATCTCGGTGCCCAGCTCATTGAACTTGTCCCACAGCTCCTTTGTCTCGAGGTGGCATTGGATGTGCCTCATCTCTTCGCTCGACCAGCGCTCTACCAGCTGGGGGTTGCGGGGCGAGGGCGAGAGGGCCCTTGAGCCGCTGGGAGCCCCGCTGGCGGAGCCGGCTTCGGACGTCGAGGACACGTCCACGGGGGAATCACGTTCGAATTCGGCCAACGGCGGCGACGGCGACCCCGAAGCCGACGCGGTGGCGTCCACAAACTTCTCTGCAAGTACGAACCAAGATGACGTCACTGTTATATTCAATCAGTCATAATCTCTATTACAGTTAGCGATGGACAAGGGATGTGCCGTCGGAGTTGCAATCTCAAGGGCACAGATACGAAGATAGTGACGTTCCCTAATTAGTTTTCCATGTTTCTGATTTCTTATATGGAGAAATCAGCAGTATGCGTTACGGTGTACGGCAAAATAACATCTTTTGTCGAAAGACATAGCAGCCTTTTGTTCTAGCTAAATTAACATGATATTTTATAACTTATAAAACATGCCGTGACGACTCTTTATCCGACAACTCTGAAACATGAGTTCAAATCCCATTGCCGACACCAAATAAATTGTTAATTGCACTTTTCACGTGCTTAGCGGTGAAGGAAATCATCGTGTGGAAACCTGCAGATTTTAAGAAATAATAACAAAAAATATTTGGAAGATATTTGAAGTCCGACAATCCGTAGTAGGGCCGCGTGGCGCATTATGCCCAGCAGTGGGATGTATATAGGCTGTTACTTAGACCTACTTTATGAATATAAACTTATTTAACACGTTCGTTACTACACGCTGGTTAGAGATGCGATCCAATGTTTTTCTTCTTTGCATATCGTAACAAACTTATTTCGGTGAAATAATACGGGTATCCTGGATATAGACAAAAAATACTATTTAATAAACTCCCAAGATGGATTCACTTAGATATATTATTGGTCTAAAAACTGACTTGAAGCCACGTAATATGTTTTGCCTCGTGTTCGAATGAATTCACTAAATAAAAAAATATATAATATAAAATAAAGAAAAAATATTACGTAAAAAGTATTATTACGATTCTTTTTTCTAAAGACAAAATGAGAAGAAAATATTGCCTTTAAATAAAGAACGGAAGATTAGTCCTAACATTTTTTATTATGTTACTAGTTGAATTAAATGCTAAATTTTTAAACAACTTTTTTCAGCAGATGTTTTCTATAAATGAATTTATTAAGAAAATTATGACGTTGTTATGTAGTATTAGAGAAATCAAGCAAAAGGGTGTAAGCAATATGAGTTTCGTTCGTGGTATAAAACGAAAGATTTATCTATTCAGATTTTGTCGTAGTGCTTTCTTCAATAATGACTTGACGAAACGGAACTGAAAAAATCTTATATTACAAAAATATTGACTTTATCTAAAGGTAGTAAAGCTTCCATTGCAGACAATTAAGCCGAATTGAGCAACTTTCTTCGACTGCCATTTTTTTATTGCATAATGTGCGTAAATTGCCTTTCATTTAAAAAAAAAACCCTCAGCGAGTACAAATTGACGTTCTCTTTCAAAGGTAAAATATCCTATATCATAAATATAATATAAAATATATCGTGAGTCAGCGTTAAAGTGCTGACTTCCATAGTTCTGATAAGAATTATTTAAGCATGTGACAAAAGATATTCTTGTAGCTTCTTTATTAGTGTTCAGTTTTAATAAATCATATTGTACTGACTAATAATAGGGGATAAAATATTGCAATTTAATGAATAAAAATGTAATAACCCAACGTCCTTCACACATAATCTCTGATATTTGAATTTAGGATAAAACATTATTGGTTAATTACTAAATGCTAAATACAGTCCCCACACGTACACCACTAATATAACTACCAAGTTATACTTAATTTATAACCGATATTTATAACATTTTTAAATTATATTTATAAAACGAAAGATGTAAATGGCTACTAAACTATCTTTTTAATATGTAGTAAAATTGAGATTTATCACTTCAATGTTTTGAGATTTAGAGTCATTTATAACAAGCGTGGTGATAATTTCGAAACAGTTTTAAGCTTCTTCCTATTAATATTCGGCCCATTGTAAGTATGTTTTGAATAAACTTAAATAACATGATGCTAATATTTTCTCTCCGCAGCATTTACGTTATACTTAATCATGTGTTTAAAACATAATTGCCGTGGAAATAAAATCAGTAACACTAATATTATTCTTAATTCCGTAGGTACGTCAAAAAGTCAAAACATGATACTAGTAAGATGTTACATCAAAATTGTATTATTATTAAAAGAGAAGTATATTTATTAATATAATTTTAATTATGTTGACTTTGATAATCCTGCTCTAGTTCAAAAAGGCATAATTTAATTTTTAATAATAAGAAATCGTTGAAATAATGATAAAAAAAATTTATGACGATCGATTAACAATTTTAATTGTCATAATTCCATAAATGCAATGATTCAATTATAACTTACACATTTTTAAAATTTTTAAAATATTTTATTTTAAAATTAGGTTAAGTCTATTTACGTTTAAGCCCAGGAAATTTATTTAAAAATATATAAGTATTTGTCAAAGTACGCCACTTTAACGCTTGCGTATATTGAAAGATTTTTTAGGTTTGATTTCATTGCATTTTGCATATTTATACACATATAAAAAATGTAATATTCGTTGTATTTTTTTTTATTTACTGCTTGTAATTTTTTTCACTTACTGGTTTACTCACTCATTTTTCATCTCGTATTCAAATCGATCTAAATAAAGTAATAAGGAAGAATGTAGATAAGGGCATGATGGGACTGACATGCAGATTACGCAAAAGTCCCTTAAGCATATAGAATTAAAAAAAGGAAGAATGTACGTCTTTACAAAAATTTTTACAATCTGATATTATCCCTATTCCTTAAAATAAACATCTGAGCACGAAGCTCCATAACTATAATAAACTACAAAATCTCAAACAAGGAAACAAACATCTATCATAATTTATAACCATTTTAAACAGTTAGTTATTCATCAAAAATTAAATTGCAATTCTGCAAGAAACTCTGTCAGATAACTGCTAAAATATTGTCCTTAATCCAGTATGCAATTTTAAATAAATATTTACGTTAAGATCCACGCCATTCAGATTATGCACCTTCAAATAAAATTATAGAAGAAATTATAATTTCAAGTAAGAAAAGAAAGCCATTGAATGGCTATGACGATTTGTAGCGTTTAGTAACTTTTTTCATTAATTATTTGGCTTGCAAACTATTTGAATATAGTGTATAATTTTTTTGCAATACGATTAAATTCGCTTACAATAAAGTATGGTCCATTAATGACATAGTTTGAAGTCTGCAAAGTTTGAATCAGGGTTGTCAAAACAGATCTTAACGTATATTATGATAAAAAACGACACTTGGTCACAGTGGTCTAAGACTATATGGGCTTATAATACTAACCTAGCGGTGTAAGAGTGTCCTCCCTGGGGTCTCTGTGCCTCCGCCTCTCTCGCCTCTCTTGCCTGTCCCGGGCCATGATGGCAGCAATCGAGAAGTCAGTGGCGCAGGGCCGCACCGAGCAGTCGTCCTCCATCGCGGGCCCCGGCCGCTCCCGACCTTCGCCTTGTAGCAGCATCAAGTTCACCGCCTCCGAACCCAGCGTGCCTGACCACAAGCCGTCACCGTCCGAACATCCCATCGGTGGCACAACCGTACATAGTATGCAACCCGCCCCAACAAGTTTTCCGCGACGTGCAAGCAACACCACTTGATTTCGAAAAAGTTTCAAACTGCTATGCGGACTCTAAGGCAGAGTTTATTTAAAATTCGGAACACATTGGATTCGGTTGCTTTTAATTTAGTGGTAAGCAGCGATACTTTAGCGGACTCGGACGTGTTGTCAACGCGATCGGAAGTTTCGGAATAGTGGTAAACTTTTTACGCGCGCAGCTGTATCGTGAGCGGACCAGTGAGGCGCCGCGCGTTGTCGACTCGACTGAGGCGGCGGCAGGCGGCGACCGGCCGCAGGGAGGGGCCTACATCCGCCCTACGCCACCACACCGACCACGCACACACGACCGCTTTTTTTATTACTTCTTTCTTGTTCCCCCCTCTCGCTCGCTCCGCGCTCGTCTTGCTCCGCAGGCGAGTTTTTCTCCGCGCGATAACTATTGAAATTCGCTAAACGGCCCGCCGCGCCACTGAAAAGGCACTCGTTAAGCGCCGAGTTGATGCTATCGAAATATTTGTACGTTAAACTCGTTTCGATAACGAGTCGCATCACTATTCATGCAAGAAAGATGATGCTGGTTGCACTGAACGCTGTCAGCCAACATGCGGTTTTAAAAAAAAATATATGACGCCTGAGAATATGGATTATGGAACAGTGTATAAAATTCACAATTCTTATATTATGGTGATAGTAAGATTCTGATCAACTTTTAAATTACAATTTAAACAAATTAATAACTATAGTAGTTGTTGTGTCTACAATAACTACATTACAATAATTGATGCAATAAAATTGAAAACATGCAATAATTTTTACTGAAGAATATTCCTTCATATTTTTTCTGAACTAGATAAAAGTTTTAATACCATGTAAAACTAATTTTAAAATTGCAAAACGGCTTTGAATAAAAATATTGAAATTAAAAATAATAATCTAAAAATATTACTGAAGCCTGAATGACTTTAATTATATTACGAAAAAAAGGAAAAGTGGGTGTGACCAACAGACTCGGGTGGATTTTTTCGTCTCACCCATTTCCTAATCTATATCCAATCTAATATAACCGGTCATATCATATCGTATCGCTTTCAGCGGTATTTAAATATCGGGACTCACCTTTGTGCAAATCAACAATGACCGGTCAATTACAGCCGTTCCATAAACATCGTTATTACGGGCAGGTAGCGGCCCTACAATGCGGGCCCAATTATAGCCGCGATCAGATTTGCGTAAAATTGGACTCGTGGACTTTCCACTATCGTATTTATAATAATTTGTAAAGTGCTAGGAGCTCAAACTAACCATGTCGCCGCGCAGTAAAGCTTATCGACGTGGAGCCGGTAATGGTCGCTCAAATGGCCGCCAATACGCGATTCGTGACGAAAAGTATTAATTGTTTACACTACGAAAGATCTTGGTAGCATGGCAGTCGGAAATCCGAAGTAAACACATGAAAATTACATTCCACGCCGTCGTTGGGAAATAATAGCCCGAATTTGCCATCGTATTCACTTAACGTCGCCTTCCTAGTACTGGTTTGAAAATTTTAAGTGGCGCAAATCTCTGATGTTGTCATCAACCCCGAAAAGGAGCGTAATTCTGCCTATACAAAGAAGCATGAGAATCGGTGTCTGTGGTAGGGCCACACAGCAACCCAGCTGTTGTACTAATGGGTAGGCTCGCCCGGGGAATTACCGCGACCTAAGACCAGCGTAAAGTAGAAATACTATAATACTTTCCTATAATTTTCTATAATTTTGTAATGAATATACCGGGAAAATATAAATAAACCGCGACAACACCCGTAAAATAGTTTCATTTAACCATGTATGATATTCGCGTAAAAATAAGAAAGCAACATGTGTGACATGATTATTAAAGCAAAATTGTGATACAGTTTTGTTATGACATCTATCTGATTAATTCATTCTTGTATGTTGAACAATAATTATAAATTAGAGATAATAATGGTCTGATAATCACTTTTTCTATTATAAACTCTGCAGAAAAGTTAATTTAAAAGTTTTCGATAACCCGTGTGATGGGTCAAAAACGAAGTTATTATTTGATATGCACATTTTCTTTCATCGTGTATGATTAATTATGAAAAAAATATTTAGTTACGGTAAAATCATTATAAAGGATTTAAGTATCCTTTATAATGATTTTCTGATAATTTAATATAACAAGTAAAATATTTGGTTGCAGCAATGATTTAAAAATCTTATAAATTATTCTGATTGTTCTCGTTTTGTATTTTTGTTCATGTAGCATTTATTTAGATTTATTTATTAAAGCAAATGGATATACACGTAGTAAATAAATATTGTAATTTTTTCTCTAACTAACATATCCTTCCAGAAATCTGATATAGATTTTGTATCGGTCGTACTTGCTTAGGATACATTTTGGATATTTCTTGTCTAATTTATTTGAAAATTACAAAGATTTCTAAAAGAGATGCTAAGCAAAAGAAAAATTTATTTTATATAAACTTAACTACAGTAAACATAAGAAATAACATTAACTAACAGACAACATACATATCAGAACATAAGAATAATAATTACTTAAAATAAGAAAATATTTCTTTTCATTTCTTACACTACAATCCTTGTTATTAATAAATCAAATAATCTATTGAAATACCTGATCAGTTAAATGTAACAATATTTTATGGGCCTTAAAAATGTCGAATATTGCGGCAGTAGCGGTATAAAAAATAGCTACATTAATCAAAAACAGTAACAGTCTCATTACCTGAATCGAATTCAAATAAATCAATAAACGAACATCTCGGGGAATTCCTTCGTAATCGATTGACAAATTAAAGGGCCTATCAGGAGCGTGCCTTTATCTTGTCACTGGACTCGTCTGTTTCGCTCCACTTTTTGTTCGTGTCGGCGGTGAGGTTGTGATTAAAATTTAAAAAAGTAAGCAAGTCGTGTGAACGCACTTGCGCCGGCGGAGGAGGGAGCGACGCCCCTAGGAGGCGGGCCGGGGGCACCCATTTCGATTCTCGACTCTGTTGCGTCGGCTTTAAAGTCTCTTATCGCGATCGCAGAAGCGATGCATCGAATGCAAACCAGTGTGGGTGTGAGGGACAGGGCCTTGCTAAGTAGTAATAAGCATCAGAACATCGGACGCGGTCGGAGTTTTTCGTGGTTTATCTTGATATTATCAGAGCTTTTCCGTTGTGCACCCTAGAAAGGATACGGCTGTTATCGCGTTTGTGAAGTCGATTGATCTGAATAAATCTAATTGTAGCAATACAAGTAAACTTTGGAGGAATTTTATGTTGTTTTAATTAATATTTAGTATGCTGAGAAAAAACCTATACCAGTTTTAATTTTATGCGCAACGCGAAGGTATGAAGAAAGCTTAAATTTGTAGATAATGTGTATTGCTATTATATTTAACTAGTTACCGGCCCCTGCTTCGCGCGGGTGCAATGCATTATACATATAAACCTTCCTCTTGAATCACTCTATCTAATAAAAAAAAACTGCATCAAGATCCGTTGCTTAGTTTTAAAAATCTAAGCATACATAGGGACAGACAGACAGCGGAACGACTTTTTTATACTATGTAATGATTTAGAAAAATATTCAGTGTTATATATACATTCATGCTGTCAAATGACGAAGATATAATGTGGTCAAATAGCCGCGCAGAATAGACACTGTCGACAAAGAATTTTAAAATGTCAGGCTAATTGAAAATATTACAATTTTTTTTTAATTACGTTTGTATAAATTTTTAAATTGTTTATAGTGCTAATCTTTGCACTTAAAATTGAACATTAATAATAATAATAATAAAATACGTTTGTATACTAGACAACTACAGAAAAAACTACTAATTGGTATTAACACGGGTAATCTAATTTATTCTACTTTTTAGAATTCGGTACTAGACGAAAAATAAGTTCGGTGACTTAAGTGGACCACAAAGGGGGACTTTTACTGGGTAACACTAACATACAGGGGATTTCAGTCCGAACGCACCGGGGCGGTTCTGACCGCTCCCAGCCACCGATTAGTTAATTGCACAGTCGACGGCCATCGGTGTTTCGGTCCGAACCGCGACCTCGATGGCTCTTAGATGACACACCATACTTAAGCGCACGCATGAGCACATGCGCGGCCCTACCCACAGCGGAGGACCCAAACCCGTGGGTTCTGGCTAGCTCACCGGTTCTGCGCCAGATGAAGCTTTAATAGTCTCGGGATTGAAAGCAAAAACATCAGTCAATACAAGATACAAGATACTAACACACAGAAGACCGGCGTGAAGTTTCGTCTGGTGGGTAAAGTGGCCGGGGCCAAAATAGACAAATTAAAGAAATTTTTACTTTGACTTTGGCTTTTACATCGAATTGTATTACATACAAATTTTTAAATACTTAAAATTATTTGTAAAATAAACATAGACGTTACCGTATTCCTAAATTAAGGCTCTCCTACAAATATTGCATAGTATTTACAGATTTTCGTTACACTTAGTAATACAGTACCTATACATTTAATGTTCCAAAGCTAGGCAATGGCTTAATAGTTAGATAATCCACCACGGGACACCAATTGTTTCCACTCCATAAGTTTCTAGATAACTGCAAGATGTCTTCCATAGTCGTCGAGCCCAAGATAATTCAGCACTTAACAAACATGCAACTCCGAAATTCATTAGCACCGGGATCTGATCCCAGGTAGGTACAGAATAAAAGCGAGCGCGCGGTCACTCAGGTACCGAGCCCAAAAAATTGCAATAAGGAAATACGGTTACACTGTTACATACTTATTTATGTAAAAAAAGTAAAGTAAAGTATCAGCCTATACATGTCCCACTGCTGGGCAAAGGCCTCCTCTGTACAGAGGGTATCAGGGTATAGTCCACCACGCGGCCCCACTGCGGATTGGTGGACTTCACATATCTTCGAAATATTTTTCTTTGTTATTATTTCGAAAATATGCAGGTTTCCTCACGATGTTTTCCTTCACCGCTGAGCACGTGATAATTCAGCACTTAAAATTGACAATTTCATTGGTGCCGGCACCGGGGATCGAACTCAGGTTGCTCGAGTATATTGAATTAAAGGCGAGCGCCCGGACACTGAGCTATCACGGCTCGCTTATGTAAATATATATACCAATATGAGGAACAGCTTAGACTAAAAGGGCAATAGCAACGTACACCTCGCGCGTGCCGCTTTCGGCGAAGCAATGAAATTTTACTGCTCCTTGCAATATTAAAAACGTTAAATCTCCAACACAACCTCTCATGACGAGAAGATCAAAATAAAGCAAAAGTATAATAGACCGAAATTTAAATAAGGCAAGCAATAGTACAGGAATCGAAACTGATGTATTAATTATAAATAAACCAAAAATTTTTTTTCATTCGCTTGATTCCTCAAAAAACTTCAACTACCAAATAAAATTAGATAACATATTTAATTTTTAACAACAGATTCCATTATATCGGTTACAATTCTTATTCATGCCTTTTTGCTCATTTAGGTATTTACTGCCTTTGGCTTTACAGAGCCGTTAAAGCTCAGTGTCCGGGCGCTCGCCTTTAATTCAATATACTCGAGCAACCTGAGTTCGATCCCCGGTGCCGGCACCAATGAAGTTTTTAACTTTAAGTGCTGACTTATCACGTGCTCCGCGGTGAAGGAAAAACACCGTGAGGAAACCTGCATATTTTCGAAATAATAACAAAAAAAATATATATTTCGAAAATATGTGAAGTCCGCCAATCCGCAGTGGGGCCGCGTGGTGGACTATGCCCTGATACCCTCTGTATAGAGGAGACCTTTGCCCAGCAGTGGGACATGTATAGGCTGTTACTTTAGGTATTTACTGCCAATTGAGGAAAAATTGGAAATTGTTTTGCATATATTATTATTACTCTTATTAAAGTTTTATCAATTTCATTCACAAACAAAGGGTACTGGCACAGGGTATAAAATTTTTAGTTATTTTTATATTGTTAAGCTAAAGAAATATAACTTCTTACGTGCGCATATAAGTACACGCACGTTTATTTCCTTTTAATAATGTATACTGCTGAGAAGCTAACAACTCTGCCTATTTAATAGTTATAGTTCGAGTTTAGTACAGACTGTAGTACACGTCACATAGCTGTGGATTTGTGTAATTATGCAATTTTTTTTTATTTAATGCTTAATGTTTTGCGATACGTATTATTCTGATTACCAAGTATATATCAGTCTGAGTACCAAGGGGCAGGAAGAGGAGAAAAGGGCGACCTGGTAAAAGATGGAGAGACGTTTTCAGCCACAAGTGTGGTAACCACTGGATGCAAATAGCTCGGGAAAGAGATGTTTGGAAAGGTTTAGGAGAGGCCTGCGCCGCAGAGGCGACTACTACTAACATATTATAATTATAATATTATTATTAATAAGATATAGTTAAAAAGTAGTAAGTAAATAAAAGCTATTTTTATTTTTATTTTATTTTATTTTATTTATTATTCTGGTTACTAATTATAGAGCAAAACAAAATGTGTCATTGTGATAATATTAATCAATAAAATATATCAGCTGATGTGCTCAAATACATGGAACAAAAGTAGCATCTAAAATAACAAAATCATTAAATTCCCTACTGCCACTGTACGTACGGGGAAGTCCTCGACCTCACAAAAGACCAACGTGCAGTGAAAGACCTTATACTCATGCATCTGATGAGTGAATTTCCGGGGCCCAACTTATTAAAAAGTGGCTGCACATCTGAAACCCTACGGGTGTTGCAAGTGTGCATGTGCGGGGGATAACACTTAACCTCAGGCCAGTTCGTTTGCCACCTTTTCACTCATTTCACATAAAAAAAACCCACGAGTTATAACTTTACGCGTATCAAAAGAAACAGTGTCCAAAAATAAACTCCACCAGTGAACTAACTCTCTAATTAATTTATTTGTCTACAATGACCAAAAAAAAAGAAATGCAAAGTAGGGCTGTCAAAAGATTTTTCGAACGCGCCTTAACATCAACTCAATTAATAGCGCACGTAACGTTCACTATTACACACGCTATCTGTGGCAAGACTAGGGCCGCGCTGGTCTTTTAACGCGCGGTTCCTCGGAGACGCTGGCCGGTTGACGCCAGCCCTGAATAAATTAGAACGGGCCGATCTTAATTAATGGACCGTACGCCCTATGTTACTTTTATCGTGATTTACCGGCCGCACATGGTCGCCCAAGGAACCGGCCGGCCACCGCCCGAATATAGAAGGACGCGGTTATGTATTTCCTTCAATCGAGCTCTTAAGTTATTCTTGAGCGAACTGATAAAACAGTAGATGTTTGCGAAGGATGCTCATGGGACAATTTAAATTTAGCATGCATCAATCACTACAGTGAAACTGTTACATAACAAAGTAATATATATATACATATATAAATAAACGAAATATATACATAAAATAAATAAAAATATATATAAATACATACGGTATTTTAACAGGCTTACCATAGCTGAAACAATGCACAATTTTGGTCTAAGCATTGGTATATGAAAAGAGATGTCAGGGCAACTATCACATTTTAATCATCATCATCACTACATATTATAAAACAAAGTCGTCACGCTGTCTGTCTGTACCTATGTATGCTTAATTCTTTAAACTACGCAACGGATCTTGCTTCGGTTTTTTTACTATATAGAGTGATTCATGAGGAGGGTTTATATGTATAATATACATTGCACCCCGGGTGGGTCGCTAATATATACAAATATATACAGTATTTTAACAGCTTTCCATAGCTGAAACAATGCACAATTTGGTTTAAGCAATTGTATACAAAAAGAGATGTCAGGGAAACTATCACATTTTAAAAATTAAAGATCATCATCCTACTGCCCTTATCCCCGCAGGTTTTCAAGGGTTCGGCGCAACATGTGAATCATGTTGTAAGCGGTTTTGGCTAAGTTTTTACTACCAGCCGCCTGCCTGACGTCAACCCTCCCGGGGAAACAGACACTCAGAACCGGAACAATTATTTGTGGGTCACACAAATACTAGTACCGTGTGGTATTCGAACCCACGACCCCCGCCGCCGTAGCCAATAGCTTCGCAACGGTGGCACCATGTCATCTTAAAAATTACGGATAGCGTAAGTAAAGGTGGGAACCTGATCTGTAAATAATTTGATTCGAACCAAGGTTCACATCATATATTTACGTTAAAAATAATCATGAAAAGAAAATATAATTTTTTTTGATTGAATTTCAGGGTTGAAAAGTTAAGGTGGCCTTAAGTGTTTTCCATCTCTTCCACTGAAAAACTCCTTGCGTTAGAAATCAAGAACAGATAACGTTTTATCAGGGTAGCAACATATTATTGATTAATGATTAAATAAAAAAAACTAATCGTTTATAATTAACCTTAATATATAGGATGTATAATATAAATACGATATATTTAATTCTATCACAATATTAAGGCTTCAAGTAATCGTATAATAAAATAATTTACGAATTTATATATCAAAGACATTAATTACAACATAAATATTCCAGCAATCATTCTTAAACTTAAAACTTTCTCAATACAAACGTATATCATTTACAATGAGAATCGAAAAGTATTTGAACATCATAACTTTAAATAGGTGGACCGATCACAAGGCATTAATATAATAAATTCAAGTTGTCTAATGTTATGACATCAACTGAAGTTTAACTCATGAGTTAAACGTTTGACGTGTAGACGCTAACGGGATCATTAAGAACATTATACAGCATTTGAACAACACGACATTCCCTCTCCACCCACGGGATCGCTCAGATTTACTCAGTGTAACGGGAACAAATAACCTGTGACATCTCGTTCGAGGCGTTTCTTTAAAACATATATTCGTACCCTGAATTCGTCCCTGGCGGAGGGTGACAATACGGTCTTCGTTAGACAGACGCCTCCCGACTCTCCCGGGACCCGCTAAATCGCATCGGTTTCCCTGCCTTTTCGTTTGTTTGGCCTTTTTCTTTTTAAAAGCGTAAATTCCGGACAAAGCTCCAATGTCACCCGAGTCACATGTATCTCACATTAGGTAGAGGCAAAGATTTATTTGTTTGCCTACTATAAAAGACTTATGGATGGATTCAAGTGATATTTAAATTTTCTCAAAGACCTTCACTGGCATAGAAATTCCAGAATATTAATTATAATTTATTTAATGTGTAAATTTGGTAATCGAGTGGCTGTAGTTACCAAGGACATCGACAATGGGGTTTCAAATGCATTCCCAACATTATTAAGTAATAAGTCCATAAATACTGTCTTTTGCTTCCTTCGTAGTCGTGATACCTCTCTGGAACTACCTACACATTGACGCATGTACAGAAGCTGGTGCATAGCTATTTACTAGATTAATACCGTTAAAGACGTTACACACTTTAACTCAAAGAGCAAACAAACCATTTTGATCGTTATATACTGAAACAATAATACTATATTTTATATTTATTTTATGTCAGAAGATAGCAAACGGAGTGGCGGTTCACCTGATGTTAAGTGATATCTGCAACACCCGTAGTGTTGCAGATGCGTTGCCACCTTATAATAAAGTGGGCCCGGCTACCACACTTACTTCCACTTCACTTCTGTGAGTTCGACGGACCTGCCCATTCGTGCAACAGCCGAAGCTGTTACGTGGCCCTACCACAGTAAGTGGTTAGACGTAAGTCATGAATGACTTACGTTTAATCACTTAAAACAAAAGAATGGAAGATCTACTCAAAGATAAGCTATCGGTGAGTAAGTACAAATATACATATAAAAATAAAAATTGAAATAAGAAAGTATAATAACCCGCCAAGTGCGAGTCGAACTTACGCACGAAGGGTTCCGTAAAATTATCTATAAAAACTGAAAAAAATCATGTCTGTTGTATGAGAGACCTACTGAAGTTTTTGTTATAGCGGCAACAGAAATACAGCATCTGTGAAAATTTCAACTGTCTAACTATCACGGTTCATGAGATACAGCCTTGTGACAGACGGACAGATAGACAGACAGGCAGCAAAGTCTTAGTAGTAGGGTTCCGTACCCGGACTACTACGGAACTTAAAAAATGGACCCTCTGATTAAATAGAGTATGTAGTACATACGTACCCATAAACAGAAATATTTTGTAATAATTCGAACACAAAAGGCTTTTAATTAAAACTGTCAGATGACAAACAGGCAACGAGTTCACATGCTGAACATGTCATTAAATGTAATTATTTCGTAATAATTACGAGCCTGGCAGTATATTGAAGGATTCAATTTTCCATCACATTATATTAATAAACAACCATTTAGTCCTTTCCTTAAACGGGTAATAGGTAGGTTTATTTAAACGGTATTTTATCAGTGATACTAAGAATCGAGTTCTATTTTACCTATACTAAATTCTATATGTATATTACATTATGTAGTCAACATTGTCTCAGACTCAAACCTTTTTCGACAATAACTTGAAATGTTTAGATATTTGATATAAACAATGTTATATGAATAACGGCATAATTTTAGATTTGTTAAAAAAATGGAATAAAATAGGATTTAGAATATAAAGAAAGCGTTTATTAAGAATGTAAAAATGTTGTAAAAATAATTACTTAATAGACTAAGAAGAAGGCTTAAAACTAAATTTATTCTGTGAGATTAAAGAAAAAAATTATTCAGGTGATATTTAGCAGACAGTTGAAACGCAGGAGTGTAACACTTCCACCTCACGCCGTGTTCTATGAGGTCTTAGTACTTCCCCGGATGGACCTGCCCATTCCTGGACTTCCTAAAACATTAACTAAAGCTCTGCACCGCCTTGGCGTGTTTAATCTCTACTCGCCTTTGGAATCATTCTCCATGTCCCAAAAAGATGACAAAAACATCTTGCTTCATGTTCAAATGGGGAAGTTATTCAAATGCCATTCGTCCGAATAAATCTCAATAGGTTTCATGTCGCAAAACTGTGGAGGCCAGTCTAAGACTTGAAGTTTTGTTTGCGGAAAACGCACCAGACCTGCAGTATCTGTAAGACGAAATCCTCCCCCATTTAAATTTTGCGAAACAACCATAAAATAAAGCACCTCGCTGCGACATATTTCACCAGTCATGTTGCACCGTATCAAAACGAGGTCATAGAATTCCAGCGCAAGCCGTCAATAATGAATTGTTCTGCCGATTACATACTCCTTTATGTCAGGGTGGAGACTGAACCTGGATTCATCAGTAAATAGTACACGAGCCCACTGGTGTTCTAGCCATCGTAGGTGAATGCTTGCGCACTGTAACCGCCGAGCACGATCGCCACCCCAAAAAGCTATGACTCGTAATGGACTACGAGAATGTGGATTAGTTTTTGGTATGGATTAACAGTTTGGGTGCTGACAGTAACCTGTTGTTCCAATCGCAGCCTCTCCACGAGATGCCGTTTAGTCGTTTTGGGCTCGCGTCTGGCAATATTTCTAATAAAACGACGTTGTCTCTTTGTAATTATCCGATATCTACAGGGATATCGTGCAGCCGTGTTCCTAGTGAGCTGATAATGTTGCCACAACATTCGGATAACAAACTAGTTGGACTGGATGGTATATGCAACTTCACGTTGTGTACGCCCGGCTTCACAACATCACAACTTGGGTTGAAAACCACGTGGTCTACCAATATTTAACTTGATTTAAAAAATGAAGAAATAAACAACAACAACTTAAATTACAACCTTAAATGTAATGCTAATAATGAAACTTTAAACAAAAAAACTAAATAAAAGCTTGTAATAAATAACCTATATGCAGGAATTCATTCATAATTGAGGCAAGTGTACTTTTATTTAGATGAGTTAGATTCCAAGTACATGTTTCAGATGCCGTGAATAGCGAGTTAGTTTACTAACCGGAAAATTGGTACCCGGTTTTGCTACTATTTGCTTTATTCATTCCTAAAATTATATCATAGAGTGAATAAAAAACAAAATTATTGAATTTAATTTAAATAAATACTAATAATGTTACATTTGCAACATCCATAGGGTTTCAGATACGTTGCTACCTTATAATAAAGTAGATGATATATGCAGAGTAGCCCGTCATAGAACAGCCACGACAGTATTATATGTATGTTTCATTATCGTACTGATAATTCGTACAAATGAATAAAGTTATATGATGGTCACGCAGCAAAATGGACTCAAACTAATTGCAGAGGATGATCCTTTATAAGCTGCCTATAGTCCGCGTTAACTACGACATTATAACGTCAACAGCACAACCTGTGAACTGTGTAGAGTGTTCTAGAGTCGGAATAGATCTAAATAAAAAATAAAAGCGGTTAAAATCATATTGATCGAGCAATTGTATTCGTCATATATTTTATCAAGTAAGCTTTTTATGTTAACGGATGCTACTGACTGGGCGGTAGTGAAAATTGGTCTAGCTGCGTGTGTGCAAATGTAGCGGTAATTTTATTTTAATTTGATTATTGCAGTGGCCTGCTGCAAAAAAGATTTCCTTTTTTCGATTTTCATACGTGCTAACTCTTTTATTCTCAGAATTTTCGATGATTAGCGACAGGATCATCAACATCAAGGTAGACAATATAATTAAAGCGTAGGTAATGACGTGGGGCGTTGACATGATATTATTATTAAATGTCGTTATTTTTAAAACGTGAATTTAGAATAAAATACAGCTGCAATTCCATTTCCTTGAAAGGACACAAAAAGCGATCTAATAGCGTAACGTCCACATACTCATAATGTGCAAACGCCGGGCTCTCCGCGTTCAGCTGACAGTGTTCCGAGCGGGTGCCAGTGTATGCCCTCACTGTAAGCGTGATCGAATTTACTACGTAGTATTATTTAAATTAACATAACGTTTATTCCTATTCGACAAGACTTTCCAAATATAGTGTAATTACAAAGCAATACGTTAAGAAGATGGCACGCAAGTAAGCTCTAGCTAATTAAATTTGACAGATAATAAAAGACATCAATAAGTACCGTAGTACATTTTTTTATGCGAAAAGTTGTCAAACGAGCAGACGGTTCACCTGTTGTTAAGTGAATACCGCCGCCCATGGACATCTGATACACCCGAGGGTTACAGATGCGTTGACAACCTTTTGAAAATTGGGCTCCGGCTACCTCACTCAAGAGACGAAACGCGAAAGTATTTGTCATACTTCCACTTTATGCTGGTCTTCTGTGAGGTCGTGGTACTCACCCGGACGGGCCTGCCCATTCGTGCAACAGCCGAGGCTGCTGCGTGGCCCTACCACCGTCGTGGCCCTACCACCGTAAGGAAATACCATATTTGGAAATTCGTATATTTTTAAAAATAACTTTTATTTCGCTTTATGTCTGGGAGTTTTTCTGTGACACAAAACATACAAAATATTGCAATTTACGACGATTGGAAATACGGCTGCAAAACATCGAAGTTTTTTTTTAAAGTACTTCTTTGTTGCAAAACATTGGAAAGCGGAAAAGCAAAGGGAGCGTTCAAGCCATTTTAGCCAGCCACCTTAATTTATTTGAGATAACTTCAGAACCCTACAAGTATTTTTAATATGTATTTTTAAGGTAATATTTATTAACAAAAACAAAACCGACTTCAAATATCTTACTCACTATACCTTTTCTATTATGTATCATAGAGTTCAAGGTCAAATAGCAATTAAATCAATATGGCACCACACGGAAGCTACACCGAAACCAATGCAAAAATAATTCCAAAATCGATTCATAAATGAGGCAGTTCTAATGTAAATAAACCTAAAATAATAGAACTGAAATGAGAACGATGTTCTCAATTCGGTCGTTCAACTTAATTAAAGCTGGTTGAAGAGAAACTTTCCCGCGCTTAACCGAATACCGTGGCAGAGATCCGCCGAGCGCCCCGCTCGCACTGGGGCCTGGGATTCAGCGGAGCAAAGCGAGGCGCGAGCGGGCTTTATCTGCGCTGGCTTGGCGCGAAACAATATATTTATTGGACAGTAGCACGCGGCGCGGGGCGATCCCGCCGGATGATCTATTCGCCGCGCACTTACGGTGCCGCTACAGACGAATATCGAGCTCAGAGGAACACTGCGGCGACTCGACGGAAATCTGAACGAAGTCCGGAGTCAGCGAAATATCTAGAAAGGAGCTGAATTTATATCGCTAACCTATTAAATCTCATAAGGTAGGTACGAAAGATGAATATTTTGAGATGTTGATGGTCATTTTTAGGATTCAGTACCCAAAGGGTAAAACGGGTACCTATTACTAAGGCTCCACTGTCTGTCTATCTGTCAGTGTGTCTGTCTGTCTGTCACCAGGCTATATCTCATGGACCGTGATAGTTAGAGAGACAAATCATATTTAAGTGAGGCTCCCAGACAGACAGACATGAATTTTTGCCGTTTTTATAGATAATACTATAACAATTACGGAACCTATCGTGCGCGAGTTCAACTCGCACTTGGCAGGTTATTATACTTTTTTATTTCAATCTTTTATTTTTATATGTATATTAGTACTTACATGCATAGCTTCTTATAGCTTGTTTATATAAATTTTTATACATTTGTTTGTATGCCTTAATAAAATAAAATAAAATGCATCGTAATCAGGCATCGTTTATTTGGTGAAAAATGGCTTTAAATAACGTATTGATTTATTCAAAATATTAGTAATGATAGTAGAAAACATTTCTTGATCTAAAAAACATTTCAGCGCTCCAGATGCGAGGTTACTCTGCACTGCGGCCGGGCACAAGCCGTCCCTCATCCGAGGAGGTCACAGTTTGCACAGGGAACGGGCAACGCGTCACGATGCGCTTTGCGAAACACCCTTTTCGTTTAAGATCAACGAAACTTAACTGTCGGCTCAGCAGTTACTCGAATCGCATTCGTTTTCATTGCAAACTAATGATGTTTTGTTTATAAAAATAGTGACTACTCGTGCAAGCAAGGGAAGTAAGTTACGATTCGAATTATGATGTGAACGATATCGATAATACTTTGTAATAATAGCAAACGTTACAAAGAAAAGAGACGTGTTTTTTTAAACACACGGAGCGACTTATCGCATTACGTAGACGCCGCAAAAACAACGGATTCCATTCCGGCTGCAAATAAAGCAGGGAGATGTTTTCAATCACGTCTCCATCGCGGCCTCCGGGGAGCCGAACAAGATGGATCGCGGTGTCAACACGAATTTGCATCCCCTGTTTGTCTCCGTGGCACCGTTTGGAGAAAAACAACGGCGCAATCCCATTGGCCGGTGCAGCCAGCTCGCATCATTTATTCGCTCCTGCGGCCGGCTAACACGATTATCCGTCGTTCCGTGCGACCCGTTCCTTTTTTCCCCCGTTCCTTTGTTTTCCAGCTTCGCGGCGCCGTGTTTTTCTGGATGGGAAATGGGATATGTCAGACGAGGAATTGACAAAAATATGGGGCCGGCCCGCGCCTGACGGGGAATACGCGATCGTATCGTTCTGTTTCGACGGTTGTTCTGCGCAGATTTTATTTATAAGATTTTCTCCCTTTTCCGTTACATTTGTGTTCCTTTTTATGTTGCGTGAAACCGTCCAATTGTCTTTTTACTGCGCTAGGTAAACAACAATGGTGTCGACAATATTAATGGTCTGTTCGTTATTGGCAAGGGAACCCGAATGTTCTGCGTCAACATAATGTATGGAGACGAATATGACTCCGCAAATAACAAAAACAACGAACGATATAAGCTCGTGTAATGTAGTACAGCGGGTAGTAAATTAGCTTCACATGCCTCGTATTACAGTGAGCAAAGGCAACAATTCAAGCATACGCACGCGGTCGTGGCTTGGAAGCGTGACGTGTCACGGTGACTGTTGCCAGAGCGCGGGTGGCTTCGGGATCACGACCTTTTCACTTACTTATTCCTGCTTAGCTTTGCTACTTGCCCAGTCACTATAGGGAGTTTTATTAAATAGTAGTAGTGCGAAGCATAAAAAATGTTTTAATAATATTGTATTGGAGGACTATTAATGGTGAACAGAACGCCGTGAGCAAACCTACATATTTTCTAAATAATAACAGAAAAAAAATTATTTCGAACGTAATGTGAAGTCTTCCAATCCGCAGTGTGGTTGTGTGGTAGGCTACGCCCTAATACCCTGTGTGTGTACATACAGGAGGCTTGTGCTGTGGGACATATATATATATATATATGTATAATAAATTATTATTAAAAAGCTAATTACGTAAAAAAAGCTAAAAGGTAATTACGTAAATCTTTAAACGTGATAAGAATTTATTTTGCCTTTCACACCTTCACCTAAAGAAACAAAAATAGTTCCATTCAAATTATTGAATAGAGTATTAAAATGTCCTTTTAGTTTGAATACTACTTAATTATATTCATAATAGCTTGATTTTTTTTCTTACATGTATGCATGTAAACGCTGGATGCCAAATTGGTTGTCAATTTTTTCCGTTAATGGAACTATCGGTATTATTACGCAAGTTTATTCATTTGTACGTTGTAACAAAAATCTGAACGTTATAATATTCCTTGGCCGTGATAGCTCGGTATCCGGGTGCTCGCTTTCAATTCATTATACTCGAAAAAGCTGAATGAAATCCCCGTGTAGCGGGGTCCCGGACTTATCATGTGCTTATGGTAAAAAAATCTGCATATTTTCAAAATAATAACAAAAAATATATTTCGAAGATATGAGATGTCCTCCAATCAGCAGTGGGGTCCTGTGTGGATTATAGGCTACAGAGGTGGCCTTTGCCCAGCAATGGACATGAGTAGGCTGTTACTTTACTTTATATTATATGCCTTTTAAAGAAATTAGGCAATACTGTAAGATTCAGACAAACTTAGCCAACCGGGAACGGATACAGCTGTCATATTGATTAGCCTATCGTTTAGTTATTACAAAAATCCAACTATTCACATATAAGAACAACGCTTATTCGAGGAGATAGTTAAGTCAAGAAACTCGATCAGGTATTAACGTTCTTCCGACTTTCGAAGCGTCATCTAATTAACAGGAGCAGTAGTTGAAGCGTCAAAAAAGCCTGGCAAAAACAGACACGAGATGACAGATACGATTTCAAATATTTCGGCGATGCGGGTTCTTTCCGAAACAAGACACCCTTACGTGATTTATTATGCGGCTTAAAGTATTACAAATTGCCTTCGAAAAATTCCTTTTCGCTTTGTTTTTCCACAGGGTTTTTGGGAGAAATTTATACGGTTCGACGGTGAGTGTGCGATAAGTTAATTAGTATTGACAAAGCTTCTGCTGTTTATAATAACACAAGTAACAAATGAATAAAGTTCTTTATTTGAACGGGCAGACACTTGTTTATTTTAACAGTATTTATGTAGTAGATTATTAATACAGTTGGATAAATACACAAAGAAATGCAAGTACATGATAGTCACAATGAAAAAGAAAAGTCACGTGAAAGGCACTCTAATGTCTTCATTCTCACTACATAAACGCGATGTAAGAGAACCTCCCGACACATAATTTCCCAACAATGGAGTTGACCGACACGCTCTATCACAACCGATGATTACGCCTTGATTGTAGCCAACAAAAACATTTACGGCCGGAACTTGTATTAAAGTAGCCGAAAAAAATAATTATTGACGGCTCATGATTGTAATTAGCACCCATCTGTTGTTGCATACAATCTGTGCTTCGGTTGGAGTTTTCGAGTGGTGATGAATTAAAAAAAAGAAATTCAAGAGGATAAGAAGCCACTGAAGCAAATTAAGTTCTTTGCGGTGATCCGATAGAGTCGCATTTGGCTCGATTGATTTTTGAATAGAACCATTGAGCGGGTGAAATGTAGCTCACGCCTCCGAGGCGGTTCGTGGACCACCCGCGATCGGCCAGCGACCGGAGCCGCGTGCACAACACATGTACAGGCGCCCTAACGACAACGAGCTTTACGCGTCGCCATTAATCTAGCAAGTGCTGTGCTATTATGAATTGCTGCAGCTACACGGTTGCAGTAGGATACAACACAAATTGCCCCCGTCCGCCGCGAGCCTTAAAAGACGGGGATATAATGCACTTACTCATATCCAGTAAGAGATATTTCACATTCGAAGAAATTATGTCGTTCACGTTTGTTTGGAAGTATGACAGACGCCAGGGCTTGGGACGATAGACGACCGCAGATTGTGATCCGGAACGACTTAGATACGTCGACAGGCTTGACCCCAGCCGGTCACATTGTTCCCGTGTGGTCCACCGTCGCCGGCGCTGTCCGCGCAGCCGAACGGCACGCGCGCTATGCGCCAACAGAGCTCCGTGCGCCGTTAATAAATGACCGACGCGCGGCATTAGGCGTATCGAATACATCATTTATGTAAATTGTGACGAAGACATATCTAGTTCGGGCAGCCGCTGCCTCCGCTGCTCTCGGCTCGCATTCCACCTTGCCTTTGTCGATAAATCCACAACAGACTGTGCTCGTGGCTGAGGGCCTGTTCCGATGGCGCGCGGGATAATGTTGACTGGGTTTGAGGAATGCGACGTAATAGGAAACGAGTAATTAGTTGCAATTTAACATGCGTATAAATGATACAAAGCAATCAATAAATCGAAATCGCATAAGTAATTTCATAACATAGAAAGCGTCAGTAATGGACCCAATAAACTAGAAGGAGGCATGATCTATCTATGACTTGGTAACCGCAGTAGGTAAAGACTTTGGCATCGCGAGTCCTAATTTCCGTTCCCACTCGGGGCCCTGTATAATAAAAATAGACAATTGAGATGGATCAGAAAGATCAGTGATATAGATAACTGTATAGACCCGGATTGACCTTGTAAAATTTATGTTTGTAAAGCTTATTTTACTGGCGGGGTGAGGTTTATTAAAATAAACAAATCAAAAATTTTGGTAATAAATATGCCTCAATTCCCTAAATACTCTTCGATCTTTTTCAAAGTAAACGGAATTTTCCTAATGACGAAATTACAGTTTAACAAAGCTCGACCAAAGCCTTGATGAGAAAAGAAAATATTTAAGGCAAACATTTGTTCTGAATGTTAAATACATTGGTCAAATGTCTGTTGTTGCAATACGCTTTAAGAACGTTCCCAGCATGATTCGCCAGGTGTAAAGGCACGCCTCCTCAACTTAATAGCTTTCAAATACGCATTGTTTCCTATTATGTTGGTAAGGTTATTGCAATCCACTCTATCAATTGCCAACTACAATGAATGGAGCGCTAGCTCGTTGTGGAGAGTACAACTATTGTTATGTTGTGACAACTGTTTGTGACTCAATATAGGCAAGATTGATTTGTGAATTTCAAATTGTTATTTCATTCGGAGCAGTACAGTCGGGTGATATATCGCTTTTCCTTGCGGTTTAATGGTGACGTATGACGGTGCAAATTTATCTAAGCCCTAAGGAAATTCTACCAGCGCTTATTCCTTTTATTGCAGCGTTGTTGGACTTACAACTTGTGGCGCGTTCAGTTTCATATGAGAAATTGCCATGACCACAATGTATACGAAGTCAGATTGGAGGTCAAAGATATATAGAAAAGATGAATGATTAATCTTATTCACTAGTTTATGACAAATAAAAGACATTGAAAATGTTTGTCATTTGTAAACTCAATTATAGTATATTTAGAATAATGTACAAATTACTAATGAATATTTAAATAAATTTGTCTAAAGCTGCCGCGTACAATCAGACAAATAATATTATTGTTTTAATAAATTAATGCCAATGAAATGAATATGACTCGAAATGTTTTGTTTAAAAATTCTATGAATAAAAAAAAAGGAATGAATAAATTATTGATGACCCTTCTGATAAACAATAACTTAACTACTAAGCTTTTGTGACAATTGCATAGTTAGTTAATTTTATTAATTAGTCCTGAGTGCCGCAGTGAGTGACGTGTCTAACTCTAAACAATAATTTATCCCTTAAAAAAAGCAGGTTTTCATAGAAAGTATCTAACATGTGTGTTATATTGAGTTAAGAAGTATTTTATTCAATATGCCGTCGTCAAAAACTTTACCATTCAATAAGATGTTACATGATTTTCCATGTAGGACATGCTATATGTTAAACGTTAAAATTATAAATATTTTAGCATATTCTCAAAATTGACGGTAAGCTTATTCGTTTGAAAAAGTTTTAGTTTCCTAGATGACCGAGAAATGCCTCAAAAAACACTGCAAAAATATGTCGCTTTTTGATGTAGATTTTTCATTGTTACAGTTTTTTCGGTCTAGCTTCAACCAGCAAACAAATTCGAATGATAAGGTAACATAAAAAACATAAAGGATAAGGAACTCCGTTCCAAAAACATTGATACGGTCAATGTCGGACAGGCTTATTGAAAAATTAAAACTTTAGGAAAACTAAGCCGGGGATCACTTAACATATACGAATGTCATCGTAAAAAAATCATCGTAAGGGCGAGGAATGCTGGCAGGGCTGCCGCCACGTGGCGAGGTCGCCCACGGAGGTCCATGTTTGGACACGTTGCCCGCTATTAACGGCCCGCACCCCTGCGGTTTCGCGAAACTGCCCGTTTTTTCACCATCACGGCTTGTCAACTGGCACATTAGCCAAGGTGTCTCCGTCGTGGTGGTCTATTTTTTGCCTCCACACACCGTTAATCGATGACAATTGTGGTATTCGACCGTTTGCTCGAAGAGAGATGTTTCCGCAACAGATGGTGTGCTGCGAACATCACTGAGCTAGGAAATGACCGATCGTCTTCGTTTACCAGTTGTTTTTAGTCTCCTCTATTTTGCTCGGTTTTCAATAATTGAACGTATGAATTGTAATAAAAATGTACAGAACTAATAACAGAGAAACAAAATAATAAAAATGAACTTAGACGAGCGTTGTAATGTTGAGTTAAGAGGGTCCACTGCTCAGGATATTGCTGATAAGCCCATTGGATTGACCAGCACTTGTTTTCTGCAGAAACCCGTGTGTTTTATATTACGAGAGCGTGTAAATATAACATCCGGGACGACCCCGTTGTTAATGTGTGCGCTCTATGCGTCTTAGTTCATTTACACTTACATTAGATCGTGGGTTTACCTCTTAGTTTTTTATCATCCCTAGTATAAAACTTATCAAAAAATAAAACATTTCAAAAGTAAAATTTTTTGTAACTTTGAGTTAGATGGGTGGATGTTGAAGAGTTGGTTAATATTATATCTCGAGTACTTGAGATTTAATAGATCTCAAGTAGTTACGGAAGCATTAAAGTCACAAAGCAGTGTAAGGATTGTTATAAGCATTTTGGGTTAAAATTATTGTAGTGTTCGTTGGTAACCGGCATAGCTCCGAAGATTGGTTAGGTGACGTGGTAATGGACCCGCTTTATAATTTGTAGAATCGATAACTGACGAGGAAGGAAGGTTCCCAATTAAATGTACCCCGCATTAGATGGAATTGAATCGAATTGAAAATGTTCGGGAAGTCGATGGGTGTAGATGGCTCTTGATCATACTTCATGGCTTCTTTCTGTGGGGGAGCCCTATATCCTTCAACAGGCTGAAATGATAATGAAGATGATGATGGTCTTTATATAAAATATCTTATCATGTGCTTTTAAAGACTCCATTCCTATTATTTATATATAAATTATAAAACATAATTTGGTACGTGACAAACTAGTAAGAACCTGATCCATTGCTAATATAAAGTTGAAATATAAATATAAAAAAGGACGAAAAGACTTTTGCCGCTTCGAGAATCGAACCCACGTCGTGTAGATTTCGCGGGTTCGATTCTCGTGATGTTAATCTGACACTGCCTAAAGAATTCTGAAAAGATTGAAACAAGAGGAAATCTGAAGGTCAGGCCTATACGGCGGATGCATTAACACACTCCCAGCCAAACTCTCTTAATTTTTGCTGAGTGGCTAAAGATATGTGAGGTCTAGCGATATCATGATGAAAAATCACACCCCTTCTGTTGATCCATTCCGGCCGCTTTCTCTCCACTTCTTGCTTTCATCTCATCAGTTATTCGCAGTAGAGTTCTCAATCAATGGTCTTTCCTGGCGGTAACAGCTCATGATGAATAATGCCCTTCCACCACACACACAGCATTACCTTGTTGCGAGATAACCCGGGTTTCGCCAGAGTCTGTGAAGCCTGACCAGCCTCTAACCACGACCTTTTTCGCACGTTATTGACATACGTGTTCCACTTTTCATCACCAGTTATCAGGTTTCTCAAAAATGGTTTGGTTTCATTACATCGTAATAAAGAATCTCAAAAGAGCGCACGGTTCATTAGGTTTCTGTCAGTAAGTTCATGAGGCACCGAAGTATCGAGCTTTTTTGTGTACCAAGCTTTTTTCAAATGCGCCAAAACTGTTTTGTGGTCAATTCTCAGTTCTTCAGTTACATCATAACTACTAATATGCCGATCTTGCTCCACTTTTCAAAAATGGCATCCATTTTATCCGTAACAGGGCGCCCAGAGCTAGGTGCATCTTTGACATCAAATTTCCGGATTGAAAGCGCCTAAACCAAATTTGTGCTACTCTCACAGACACTGCACAAGCTCCATAAACATCACAAATTTTTTTCGCGGCTTGCGTTGCATTTTTACCTTTTTATAGTAAAATTTTAAAATGTATCGAATTTCTTCATTAGAATCACTCATCTTAACAGTAAGAAAAACAAACGAAAATCACACATTTTCCTAATTTGAATTTAGAATTATCTTTTTTAAAATTTAAACTTATTAATAATACCAAAACCAGCCATATACAAATGGTATAGCCAAAGAGATTATATTATAAGTTTATATATATTATTTGCGAAAAGAGTTTTTACCCAACCTAATATTTGTAAACTCGAACCATAAAGGATTAAAAGAGATACCATGCACTCGTATGAAAATTTGCATTTTTTGAATGGGGTATACATACGGTCTTCACTATTGCGACTTTAAAGTTTTTTTTAAACTTGTATATCAACTGAACGTCGACTTCACGCCAACAATTGCCAATAACCAGAGTAAACATTGAACATTAGCGCCATTGCAAAAATAACTCACCGACTACGTCATATTGAAATATTGACATCGTTCTGTTTGAAATAAAATGTTTTGTTTTGATTAATTTCTTATTTATTCACCAAAAGTGGTAGGTCCACGTAACAGTTTTCGGTGTTGCACGAATGGGCAGGTCCGTCCGGGTAAGTACCACGACCTTATGTTGTACGTCCGCGATTCGCGTGGTGAGTGAGGTAGCTGGGGCCAACTTTATTAAAAGGTGACAACGCGGTGACCCGAGCCATGATAACTGATTGTTCGGGCGCTCGCTTTTAAACCAATATATAATATTTAATAAATATGCTCGTGTCATTTTATGTTTTCTTTTATCGCAGAGCACGTGATAATTCAGTACTTAAACTTAACAAATTCATTAGTGCCGACATCGGAATTGAACTCAGGTTCCTGGAGTATATTTTTGACTAAAAAGTCGGGATACAAGTCTGCAGTAACCGTCCTTCCATAGTGCAGCACAATTGTTGCAAAATGCCTTGTCCATTCTAAGAACAAAGGAATCGTCTTTTTTCATCAGTAGTTTTGTAGCAATATATCCAGCTCTCATCAACGTTCACGCCAAGGTATTTCTGGTCTTCGGTCAAAGTATGCGGAATCGGTCGTAATATTTTTTGCATTTAACCCATATCAATGCCTAAGCTTGCCCAAATCTGCTTGTAGGTCTTTTTAACTGTAATAGGGCCACGCAATATTCTTTCACGCCCGTCCGGGGAGGCGGAAGTGTTGCACTTCTGCATTTCGTCTGGTGAGTGAGGTAACCGAAGCCTACTTTATTAAAAGGTGGCAACGCATCAACCCTACGGTATGTACGTTGTAAATGTCCATGGGCGGCGGTTATCACTTAACATCAGGTGAACCGCCAGCTCGCTTGCCACCTTCTCACATAAAAAACTTCACTCTCTTATCTTCCTCTATCATGCGTCGCACAGCAATAATGTTATCTTCAGATGTCGCTGTTAAAGGACGACCCTTAAACTCATTAAACCCATTGCAATCAGTGGCATGGATCCGTCATAGCTTTGTTGTTGAGTAAGACCCAACGAAAGTCTTTTATCGCGTTGAAAGACTTAAACATTGTATCGCGTTTAATTAATTTTGAGGTGTAACAAGACTTTTGGAATCGCCGCCAATTCACAAAGACAAATAACAAATCACTTTAAGTTACCAAAGAGTTCTATATTCAAAATTTAAAGTCATCATTGACAATATTCCCGACTAGCCAGCTCTAAAACCTTTCAGTGTCACCCTGGTTATACATATATAAAGGTTTATTATTTAGTATATGTTTGACGCTATGATGGTTGTTTCTCGTGATACGCTGCCTTTACCCGATCGGGGCGGATTGTGAGGCGTCCGGTGCCGTGCATATTGCGAAGTTTTTGCCGCGAATTCGCGGTAATGCTGTTACGGCGCATAAACGACCCGCCTTCGTAATCACGCTAAATATATCGCTCGCGCGAAACGCTGGGAAACTGCACGGCTCCCCACTTAATTGTTGGCGATTAAAATATTCTGCGACTAGGGCATGATGTCAGCACTTACGCTTCGTACCGATGACGCCAACGACCATGTCATGACAGATGGCTGTGTTAGTTTTTAAATTTATGGGTGTTTTTTACTTGCTACTCTACTAGTGATCAAGTATTATTTACGTTAATAAGCAGATTCCACATCGAACACATCATTTTAGACAATAACAGAAAGAACTTTTTGTATTTTGTTTCTATAATGCTTGATGATACATGGAGTTAAACTTGTAATAGTCTTGGCGGATTTTAAGTTGTGACTTAAGTATAAAGTATTTCTCATAAAGCTATAAATCACCGACCACCGTAGTTACTTTAAATATTTTTATAGTTTAGATTTACAGTAAATCTACATATATTTAGATTTATGAGATATCTGAATCACAGTTTTCACGTTTACGTAACGGAAATTTCAAATACGGGTTAGCGTAATTGAATAGTGCACAAATATTGGCGTTAATAATCCCCATAACTGATCCGATCGTCTAATTGAATATAAAAAAGTTCAACAAGAGACCAGCGGAACACAGCTGTGTGGCGTACGCTGAGTCCGTCGCGCCTCGACCAAGGTAATTCGAGCCGATTGAAAATGCCGTTAAAATACGTACGATACGTGCCGTCGTCGACCACCTCACATTTCGCGAGTATATCGGAGGTCAAATAGAAAGCGGAACGCGTGAGGCATAAGCATTTACGGTGCGCTGAAGGGCGTAATTGCTGAGGCGAAATTGGGCCGGTGCAGCGGCGAGGGTATCCGGCTAATGGACGTTCACGCTTATTGATCGAACCTCGCGGGCCGGGCAATAAAGTGCGTCGGTGGTCGTAAACCGGCACCGGGATCTGGCTACCGGCGCTCGAGATCAAAGGGGCGCGCCGACAAAGGAGCCGTCCGCCGCCGGCGCTGTCAACGCTGTCGCGTTTCCCGCCCCCGGGGCAGAATTACGCGCGATGAGAGCTATCGACAATTGAATATTAATCGCACGCGTTTGCATGAAAACCTCATCGGTGTCCGGCTAATGCGCGAATTAAGCGGAATCGCGATCAGAGGCGTAGCTGTACGGGCGCGCCATCAATGGCCGTATCATTATTACTGTCCGAAATTGCCGTAACGAAACCCCTCAAAAAATAACGGGGGTAACTCTGTTGGTACTAATCGGCCACATTTCAGACACGAATTAATCCAACTAATGACTCTTTAGGACTGAACAACTTTGGACATATTATACGCAGTCTAAGCATAATTGCAATTAAGGTTTTGTCTGTGGCAGGGCCGCACTGCAGCTTCAACTGTTGCGCAAATCGGCAAGCTCATCTGGTTACCACGACCACACAGAAGACCGACGTGAAGTGGAACTGTTACGCTTCTTTTTATTAATGGAAATAGGAGGCAAACGAGCATGCGGGACATTTGAGTTGAGTTGCAATTGCGTTGACGGCATTTAGAGTAGGCTCTCTTCTTGAAGGTGTCTAAGTCGTATCGGTCAGGAAAAACCACTGGCGACAACTCGTTCCACAAAGTGGAACGGTGGTAGGGCCACGCAGCAGCCTCGGCTGTTACACGAATGGGCAGGCCCGTCCGGGTAAGTACCACGACCTCACAGAAGACCAGCGTAAAGTGGAAGTATGACAAATACTTTCGCGTTTCGTCTGGTGAGTAGGGGAGCCGGAGCCCAATTTTCAAAAGGCTGTCAACGCATCTGTAACCCTCGAGTGATGTCCATGGCATCGTGGCAGATGTCCATGGGCGGCGGTATTCACTTAACATTAGGTGAACCGTCTGCTCGTTTGACAACTTTTCGCATAAAAAAAAGTAGTTGTGTGGGGTAGAAAATTTCCGCCAACCGCCAACCATCAAGGTGGTGGCGATGGTACTTGGCGGTTTGACGAGTTGTACGATGGTGAAATTCAGCAGCATGTAATCAACCCAGGCATTTTGAAATTTTGTCAATAAGTCCATCGGTACGTGATTAATTAATTTATTTGAGATGATTAATCTTATTCAAATTATTTTCTTTGTAACAAAATTACTGTGTTTATGTTTATATACCAAATAAATATTTTTCTTTCTTTTTTTCTATTCACGCGGATATTAATAATATTATATCTTAATTTTAATAGATGTTGTAAAGTGATCTAATAGTTTGGATTATAAAAACATAGTATAAAGGCTCGTCCATTGCGTCAATCGGTTAGTGGTAGGTCAGGTCGCAGTATGATTAGAACAAAATTTCTTTCAAGATCTTTATAAACCCTAGGTTTATAAACAGAACATAGGAAACAAAATAAATAAAAATAAATTCACAAATGCAATATCGATCGTAGAACGGCTAACCGAAGCACAGCATTAAACACGATCCAAACGGAACACCAGAGCAACGGTCTTTGAGTCAACGTCGCCGCAGCGATCTTAAGAGATCTGGAACGAGCCCAAAAACTGTGGGCGTCTTAAGACGGGGGCCGTCGTTTTAATTGGTCGTATTAGTGCTGATCCCCTTATTAATAGGTCGATTACTTGCGGGGCGGGCGGCCGGCCGGCGAGCGCGCACACGTCTTGCGACATTAACTGAATCCGCCCCGCTAAACAGTTGCCAGCGTGTTTAATCCGACAATAAAGAACTTCAAAGAACAGGCCGCAACGGCGCGCTCTTAACCGCCTTCGCGGGCGCCTCTCGATTGTTATTCGTGCCGTTTAACCGCCTTAAGGAGTGCTTTAGCGCGTCCGAAGTTGATAGCGATTGCAGCGGCCCCGCAAATATCGATATTGTCCGAGAATAGCGGCGCTATCTGAGAGGCGCGGGCATAAATCTGCGAGGTGTCGGCCGATATCGGACGCCCGTTCTCCGACTGATGGTTTGTATCACTCGCGGAGCGGCGCGCAAAGTGTTTTGGAGTACGCGCCTGCGTATCGCCGGAAATAAAACATGCGAATTAAAAGATTGACTTTTCAGTTTCGAGTGCGAATTTCGCGCGGTAGATGTGGCGAAGTAATCTCATGAAACTTGAAAATTTATTTTGCAGATCACAAAACTACCACATCACATCCACTGGACATCTTCATTCGATCGCGCCCGCGTTCACTAACTAAACGACCAAAGACCAAAGTAGTAGAGTGCTGTACAACATTCGAAACGTATTATTTGTTAATAAAAATAACACATAATTAAATGTGTAACAATTAACTCAATATGCTACAATCGTAATAATAAGAAATGAACACATAGGCACGCTTAGCAGCTTCAACTAAAACTTTGTTTCATTTAAACTGCCTTGGTATCAGATTGGGTGCCTTTGCGAGTACATCACAGCAGCAGCAGCAGCTGCTGCCGAAAACGTTATAACCAACATCAGGAACAGTCCAATACCACAGAATGGCACATCACCAGCGTTCCATGTAAACAGACGAATCAGGCGCGTTTGACTCAGCGCCGTAAGTGCTGGCCGCAATTAAGATAGCGCCGTTGAAGGTACGCGCTGAAGTGTTTTCTAATTACGTCCATCAATCACGTGGCCAGAGCACCGCCAATCAAGTAATTGCATCGCGTGCATCAGCTTTTCGGCCCTCGATAATAATAGGCATTTTATTGCCCGTAATGGAGTCTCTAGGGCCACCCGGTTAATGCTCCGTTTGGTAACCGTGGCTTTTAAAGCGTATTAAGCGCTCAAGGAGCCAGGAAGCCAGCCCCGTGTCCACGCGATAGTCGCCGACGTATCGCCGGTCTTGTAATCAATTGAACGGTTAATTGTCCAGCAGTACGCGACCATAATAGATTTTCGAGACTTCAATCGGCCTGATTGAATTTTGCGTAGTAACTATTACCACGTGACGACCTAATAAACTTTATTTCTGCTTATGTTACGTATTAGTTAATGTATTTTTTAGATTTGTTTTAATGATGCTCTACTTAATCATTTCATATGTTAGAGAATTTTCTAATCACAGCTTGTTTCCTCATTCACATTTATATCCGTAAGAATGAACTTGCTAGTTTAGCTTGATTCTCGCCGGAAGTCGGAATAGCCATCAACATTTAATTTCAACTTAGTGACAGCATAATTTTTTTGATATGAGGAGGAGGATACTTTATCTTCTGAAGAATAACCAGGGCAAGAGTACCTATGGAAGAAAGGGTTATGCGATACTTGCAGTGACTTAGATCGGTCACCCATACTGCGTTTCGAGAGGCTCCTGGATCTCTAGTGGAACGCACTGGTGCCCATATGATGTGCACCTGAGTTCTACGACAGGGAAGGAAAGCAACGTCTTATTTAACACCAGCTTTTAGCTGTGGCAATATGAGACTACTCAGTGGTGCTACTTGACTAGGTAATCAGGGCTTCCACATCGCCCGTCAAAATTGTGACCAATTATATCAATATATTTTTAAAAGCAACAATTATGTAACCGATATAGTCATTAAATGGGTTTGTAAAAAAGTTAAAAAGACGTATTGCGTGGCAATCTCTAAAAGTCATTGCCTATTAGTCACCTAATCTTACGTAATACGTCAATCCTCTACTTCGCTCAGCACAAAGAGGTAGGTCTCAGTTCGTTCCGCATGACCCTACAAAGTAGACAATGGTAATCGGACAGGTGGGTTGACATGGGCAAGCTTCGCCCCGGACCCTGTGTCAGGACCGTGATGAGGACGTGTGACGCCGAGGGATTTAAGCGCGCTCTACAGAAGGATCCAAAATTAATGGTCGGAAGGCTCCAATTCGTTACCCACATGTACCGTGCATGCGATAGGTGCGGTAAGCTTTATTGTTGGTGTCAGAAAATTGTTTTCGCTGTTATCATGTAGTGAAACACGTTCACGGGTGAATATTTATATTAAACTAAACATTTGTTGTTTCAAGTACTTTAGAGACGCATTTCTGTGGATCTTATGAATCTATTTCGACAGAAGTTATTGAGAAATTATATTTTTCTTTTATAAAGCGGAATATGTTTATTAATTGTTAATCGCTTGCTCAAAGAGCAATCAAAAATTTTTTATAAGTTGTAATCAATAAGTCAAATATTTTTTATGGATTTATAGCATTTACTCTAAATTTAAATTCCTAACATTTCGAATGCATTGCGGCATTAAATGTTTCTTTTAATACTTCTTCATCAATTCTATAAAGCGATGATTCACACATAGTATCCAAACGTGCAAATCAACAGCCGTCTTTGGGAATTCACGAAATAGACTAAGCAGCATTACGCGCGACGAACTCTCCAAAGCTATCGGCTATCGAGATCTTTACGTCCAGATCACCTATCAGCGTACGATGTGTTCGTAAATCATGATCGGTCGATGATCGGTCGCGATGCGACGTCAGATTAGTTGGACGCTTCCAGCCTTTTTGTTTGTAATTCGTAATCGCAGCCGAGATGCCTGGATGACTTGCGTTGCGTGTAGGGCGACCATTCTATTTCGGAAAATTCTCAATCAGAATGTAGAGCTCTACATGTATACATAACCTCAAAATTTATGAACTAACTTCTTAGTTAAAATAGTGCATGAAGCTATCGTAACGGTTAGATATACTAGATGCTTGCTTTATTCAGTTCAAAGGACGTCAGATTCTTCCCTGAATTATCGTATCAGGCACAAATGTTAGGCTTAGGGTGCTAAAAGAAAAGTCCGAAAAATAGAAACATTTTGATGTCGTGAAATTCGCCTCTCAAGTCTCAATTACTAACATTCAAACCAAAATGCTAATGCTGGCAAACTCAAAAAGTGCCCTGTCTTTTACAAACCGCATGATGATAAAATAAAAGTCTGACTGATTTGAAGCATATATGAGTGTCATATACAGGTCATCACAAAATACTGATCCGGAATCGTAAGCCGGTGCGGCCGATAAATTGCAACACTATCAAGTGCTTAAAGCAAACAAAGTCCTTTGAAGTCTACCGGTACGAATGGTGACCCTCGAGAAGTCCACTGGCGGCGGCAGCGGCGCAAACAGCCACGCTGGCGTTCTAAACTATTGGCTGTTTATCAATTATCTTCTCTACATTGCTCCCTTGACCATGAAAAATGCGCTCACTGAGTGATAACAAACAATGGCGGAACACCCGAGCGCAACTGTTAATTGGAGCTCGATCGAGGTACCAAAGAAAGAATACGACGAATTGTATTTTTTTTTAATGTGAAAAGTTGCCAAACGAGCAGACGGTTCACCTGATGGTAAGTAAATACCGCCGCCCATGAACATCTGTTACACACGACGGTTACAGATGCGTTGACAACCTTTTGAAAATTGGGATCCGGCTACCTCACTCACCAGACTTAACGCAAAAGTATTTATCATACTTCCACTTTACACAGGTCTTCTGTAAGGTTGTGGTATTTACCCGGACGGGCTTGCCCTTTCGTGTAACACCCGAAGCTGCTGCGTAACTAACGCCCCTTTTTTTTTGGTATCGGGGGGGGGAAATCTTCAAAAGATACCCTGTCATGACATGACAGGGTTGTGTGGGGTTCATACCCACTAAAACCCCCTCGGTGGCTCGAAAGTGAAGGGACTCCGGGATCTCCTATGGAACGCACCGGTGTCCCTCGGTACTGGGCGTGAGCACGCCTCGGAGAAGGGTAAACCTTCCCCGATTCCCTCGCCGTCTTCCAGCAGCCCGAGACCACTTCGTGCTGCTGCCAATCCATGTCCCCTTTTAGTCGCCTTTTACGACAGGCAGGGGATACCTTAGCTCTATTTTACGAGCCCGAGACTACAGGGCTGACGGGGCACCTCGTCCATTTCTACCGACCCGGTGTCTTCGTCTCCGAGCGGAGTCGGCCCTCTCCCGTTCCCGCTCAGCGATCTCCTTCTGGATCATAACAGCTTCGCAGAAGGAGACCAGTGCCATCCAAGCGGATTTCTCCATCAGGGCAGCCGCCACTGCAACAGGTGGAGATAGGTCCTGCCCGATCTTTTGGACCAAGATCCGACGCTCTGACTCCCACGCGGGGCACTCAGCAAGCGTGTGCTGTGCGGAGTCCCGGTCCCCACCACAGTGGTGGCATTGCGTTGTCGGTTCGCGTCCAATTCTATTTAAGTACTCACCAAAGCATCCGTGTCCGGTGAGTACTTGCGTCAGACGAAAAGTGACGTGCGCAAATCCCCTCGCACTAAGCCAGGCTTCGAAGCTTGGCAGGAATGCAGTGACAATCCGTTGGCGCGAGTTCTGAGGTTCTCCCAAGCGCTCGCGCCAAATCTCAAACCCCCTTATACGCTCTTGCTCCCGCACCTCTCCCGCATCCAAGGGCTCGATATCATCCTGGGATAACCGAAGGCGAGTATAAACTTGCGCATCTATCTCCGCCAGAATGTCCAGTGGTGGAAACCGAGCTAGGATAGTGGCCGCCTCAAAGGATATCGTTCGATAACTTCGTGCGATTCTGATGGCCATTCTCCGCTGCAGGCTGTAAAGTTTAGCTCTGCAGCGGCGGACGCTCGTTAGCCGGTGGAACCATACGGGCGCACCGTAGAGGGCCATCGATCGCACGACCCCCGCATAGAGGCGGCGAACTCCTTCCCTGGGGCCCCCGAGATTAGGCAGTAATTTGTGCAAGGCACCTACTACCTTCTCTATACGGGGGGCCAAGCGGTTGAAGTGCTCCTCGAAGCCCCAGCGACTATCCAGAGTGAGACCAAGATATTTCATCACTGGTCTCACCGGGATCTGCACGTCACCCACGCGAACCGACCAGCGGGGTGGATCCCCTCCTCTAGGAAGTTTGTGGAACCAAAGCGCCTCGGTCTTATGAGGCGCTATCCGAACAACCAGCTCATGGATTTTGCCCACAACGCAAGCCACCCCAAGCTCAGCGAGCCAACTGGTGCTCTCGAAGCTACCCCCTTCGGCCAATACTAGAGTGTCGTCTGCATAGCAGATAACACTTACACCGATGGGGAGAACAGTTCGTAGGACGGCGTCATATGCGAGGTTCCAAAGTAATGGCCCTAAGACGGACCCCTGTGGAACCCCGCAGTTCACCTCCCTATAATGGACTAATGCGTCCCGACCCACGTACTGAATGCACCTGCCGTGCAAGTACGCCCCGATAATGCCTAACTAACCCCTACCACCGTAACTAACTTACTACTTACTACTAATATAAATGGCAATGTTTTTATGTTTGTTTGTTCACTCTTCACCCATTTGTACGAGTATTCAACGGATTTAAATTAAATTTAGAATCAATTCACCTCAAAAGTTGATATTGCATTTCGCCAAGTTTAAATACACTTAAGACCAATTATGTTTCAATAAAGATGACTATAATGCTCAGCGCTCAAAAATTATTCGTAATTATATCATCAGATGATACGGAAAGAGATAGCAGACTAATAAACTACACCAATTGATGTACACCGGTCGGCTCAGGTGGTTGTGGTCTATCTAACCTTGTCATGTTGTGGGTTCAATCACATCACAGGATATAAAAATTGTGTAGACGTCCCTGGCGTCCTCTTGTTTTATTTTCAGTTTGAATAAAAATACTTGTAAAAATTACAGACGAGGCATAATCGCTAGCACAAGGTGTAGTCGCTTTTATCGCTTAAAGTCATAGAGGATAGTCATAAGGATTACTTATAACGAGGTAAGAATGGCAGGATTCCTGAGTACTTGTATGACGTCGTGCGTGTAAGGTGCATGAAGAGACAAGGATAAAATTAAATAATAAAATATTGGGAATAAAATCATTTCGAGTGTAACGCTAACAAACATCCTTAGGGGCTAAGTGGGAGATTGCCGGGACAGATCTAAAGCCGCAATTACTGACGGCTTTGCGTTCCAATGCTGCTGAGAGCGTCCCGACTTCGGTTCTAATCGCCAGGGTCATCGCAGTACGCCCCTAATCCACGGTACACCCGCGTGACTCGATTTTGAATGGGCTTTTTCAAAATTATACTCACACATACATACAAACACTTTGTTATATTACAAGACATTGGACAGCAACAACAATAACGAGTCCCGAGAACCTATATTGATACCCGTCATCCAAGGCGGTAGACAAGAATTGTCAGCTTATCTATATATTAATACATGAAGCAAAAATTGTACCCCTTGTTACGAAAACTGCGCGGACGAAGGAGTATGAAATTTCCCCCACTTATAGTTTATATAGAAAAAGAGTGCAGAATTAAAATTTGATCAAATAAAAAACATTACACACTCTACCATGTATAACATGACACAATTATAATTAATGCTTGATTTCGCCAAATGAAGTAGTAACACCGATCTTTCTAGAGACACCCAAAAAAATTTTTTTTATTGTGCCTTTAAATACCTATTTATTTTTGTCTACATTAGGACCACGCAACTGCTTCCACTGTTTCAGGCAAACGAACCGGCAAAACAGTAAGATTCTCAATCAAGAGTCAAGGGTGAAGAAATATTATACATTTGCGTTTCGCCTAGTGGGTGAAGTAACCGTCTATTGTTTTTAAAGATTTGTATCGCATCTGCAACATCTCAGGTAAGGTACATTTCCATAATCACTTAACTACAGCAGAACCATCGGCCATCGTTCACCTACAATAGAATAACGCAATAGTTGCTCCAACAGCTCCTAAAATACTTACATACGCCGTTTACATCAAAGAAGCTACCTTTAATGCACTGAAAAACTTGTGAGTCATAGATTCCAGTCGGCATCACCGAAAGGCGCCGAACAAAAGGCGGACGTATCAATAATCGGATGAAACGCGGTAATCCGTCACCGAGAGATGCCGCGTTTCCTATGCGTCTGATGCAACACCGCACAATGCATCTGATGGCCAAGCCGCTCTCGGATAAAATGTTCCATTGACAAATCATATGGTTGTCGTTTGCAATTCTGTCGCTGTTTCTAATATTGTAAAATCTCACAATTTAATTGACCCTTGACAATTTTCAATTTTTTACTATATACATATCTTTTAAATTTGTTATAAGGAAGTAAAAATATTTCATACAAGGTGCAAATAGGTACCACAATATTTTTTTTTTTTTTTCAATTTTTGTCTGTTTGTTCCGGCTAATCTCTGAAACGGCTGGACCGATTTTGACGAGACTTTTACTGGCAGATAGCTGATGTAACTTAGGCTACTTTTATTTTAAAAATTTTATTCATTTTAAATTCGACGTGGACGAAGTCGCGGGGAACAGCTAGTTATTTTATATAACCACGAGCACTGTGGTATTCATCATTTTAAAGATTTTTTGTTGAAATAATATCACCCAATTTAAATTTTCCTGTTTTGTCGCAGATATTACATTTTGAGGTCGAGAAAACTCGGCGTGATTAATAATTAATTTTGCAGACCCATCCGGGTAAGTACCACGACCTCACAGAAGACCAGCGTAAAGTGGAAGTATGAAAAATACTTTCGCATTTCGTCTGGTGAGTGAGGTAGCCGGAGCCCAATTTTCAAAAGGTTGTCAACGCATCCGTACCCCTCGGGTGCGGCAGATGTCCATGGGCGGCGGTAATCACTTACTATCAGGTGAACCGTCTGCTCGTTTGGCAACTTTCTTGGTATTTCTTTGGTATATATATCTATGTAAAACCAAATTGTAAAAATAAGAGTAATGTTAAATTATTTGAAAATACGATCTGTGTATTAAGTAAAACTGAGATAAGTCTATTAATATTGACCGCATGTCTTGTCTGCATTTTGGTTTTAGAAAACTTGTAGCCTCGTTCAAAAAACTGTTGAAATTAGGCATCAATCGAATAACAATTATTTATAAAACACTAAAACATAAAAGTATGATACGCCGACTTAAGCATCTTAGTGATTAGTCATAATTCATATTTATTCTGCTACATTAACACCGGACATAAATGTTACAGATCACATCAGATTTGTTTAAACCAAAAATGGAACGAAATCTTCTATCCTTGCCTTTACTACCCCTTAATTTGCAAACACGAAATACGTCTTGTTACGAGAAGGGGTCATCAGTACTGCTATATGAGAAAGGTGTCTAATAGGATAGGTAGGTTATATGAAAATATTTTAAGAATTGTTTCAAAGTTTTATTTTGAAGTAAAATTCCCGACGTTTACTTCATAGCGTTCATTATAACGAGACAGACTGAGTTGTTTACCTCCTAATGTCAGAGTTAACCCGGGGTAACAACAAATATTTCATGTCTGAAGATGATAATGAAAAATTATTAAGCGAATTTATATTAAACACAAAACCATGAATCACTTACATTTGTGAAAAAAAAAGACAAAGAGGCTCATGCTAAAATATGAGAACGAACGTTTTAAGAATCTTGTATAAAAGTGAACTTATTGATTTTTTGTGGTACAAAACCAAACCAACGAATAGCCGATCGTTTCTGGCTGAGTTGCCACAAACTGTCTCGCGTACCGTTCAAAAACCGATCGCTCATACTCGTGACAGGTGTGTGCACAGCGTTACCTGTCTGATATTATGATTAGAGAAGAAAACGTTAGCAGACTGCATACATGCATGTGTAGTTGTAGTTTTATAATATTTTTATGGATTGGATTTTTGAAATCAGAACAAATTTTTGTGTAGGGCATAATAAAGATAGATCGTCATGCAATATTGTCTCAATTCAAATAGTGAATTAGCCAGGAAAGTTCTGACAATTTAATTTATTGTGATTCGGTAAACAGGCTCATGATATTACGAGGAACGGTATATTGAAACTGCTAGCGATTATTTAGAGATAATGGTGCAATATTGTAATTTTAATTGAAATCTAGGGCCATGCCACAGACTTCACTGTTGCACGAACGGGAAGGTTCGGGTAAGTACCACGACCTCACAGATGACCGTTGTGAAGTGGAAATGTTATACTTCTGCGTTTCGTCAGAAGAGTGAGGTAGCTAAGGCCCACATTATATGTAACTGCAACCCTACGGGTCAATGTGCAGCCGTTATCACTTAACATCAACTAAACTGCCAGCTCGCTTGTCACCTTCTCACATAAAAAAAAATCTTTTAAGTAACGTCTGTCCAGAAACCAAATAATAGACACAAGCAAGATGCGTTTAACCCGTGACTTAGGTGTAGCCAAGTATACAAAACTCCCGAAACTTAAAACACATTTAATGCCATATAATTAATAAAATTATTTTACTTACAACAAGCATGTTGTACGAATACGAAGCAACTTCATGCGAACATTCCGGACTGTTAATATAAAAAATTGTATTTAATTGAACACCATTGTCCACTGGCTACTTTTTTCTTCGCTATTATGGTTTAACGCTATTCATAAACACATCCCATTGTGTGGTTCTGGTTTAAACGCTGTAAAGGGACTGACGCTGTTGTTGATTTGACTCGTGATCCGTTGTCAGTTACGCGTAATTCTTCATTGAAAGTAAATGTCACTCAACTGTCAAAACATTGTCCAATTCACAAAATTTCGCGCCTAATTTCATCGGATATTGTTAATTTTTAATGTGGCTACGTGAATTTCGGTTTATTCAGCATTATGTCTAAAGTTTTAAGTTCGGAATTTGAGTCTGACTATTATAATTTATGTTAGATTAGAGATACGCATAACATTCTTACATATTATAGTGTAAATATTAAATCAAAAAGCATTCATGCGACTAGTACTAATTATTAATTAAACAAATATCTAACTGAGTTAAAAAAAAACGATTCCTATACTTTTTTAGCGGAGACTATAATAAAATAATATACTTGAAAAGAAATGAAAAGAATGCTTAGGTTAAACATACAAACGTTATACCCAAGCGAGCCGTAATAGATCAGTTTCTGGGCGCTCTGTTTTAATTCATTAGAATTCGAGCAATCTGAGTTCAATTCCCAATGAAATTATTAATTTTAAGTGCTGACTTATCACGTGGAAGAAAACATCGTGAGAAAACCTGCATATTATGGAACTAACAACAATAACAAATATTTCGAAGATATGCGAAGTCTCCTTACAAAGGACACTTTCCCTGCAGTGGGGCATGTACAGGCTGATACTTTACCTTCACTTTAATTTACATTATCCAACCAGTTATAAAAGAAATTTATTATCGCATATAAATTATTAGACTACCTTCCAACACATCGGTTACTTAATAACAAACGAACTAAAAATTTCTAACCTACAAAAATAGAAAACAATCTAAATTATATAATATCCAAAGACAATAATTGTCAGTGTGAACACTAGCCGAAAATAACATTTTAATGGCTACCGTCTAAAAAGAAAAAAAAGCATACGCGGACGCGCTGCGGTCGCGGGCTATACTCAACACGGCTGCACGCAAGCGCACCGGCCGGCGGCGACCGGCAAATTATAGACAAATCTCGATGAGGTATTATTTTTTCAACGCGCCCGGGTGAGAAATGCGTGATTGGGGGCCGGCTACAGATTACAGAGTGCGGGGACACGCCAGCCGCGCTCTCACTCACTTAAAACCGTCTTTTAAACAATAATAAATGTTAGCGAGTAATTACCCACCGCCACCCAGCAAGTGGGAACTCATCTTAGACGTAACAAATGTATATCATTAGACATATCGATAGTGCTACAACAATTATTCCGTTAATCTACTGAAGGATTGTCGATGATGATGTGGCTCCTATATAAAAAAAATGGTGTAGTCGTCGATTCCGCAGGTTTTATTGCCATGGAAATACTAAATTTATGCAAATTTAAGCAAATTACTGGTTAGAGTTTTTGCAAATTGCAGTATTGAAGCGTCAGCACTTTTAAAGAAATTTACCATAAAATCGGCATGGCCGTTAACATAGGTTAGAATTAAATTACATTTTGTCAATTTTTCAATAAAATAAAAATTTTACTTCAACTTACGTGGCAATCATACCTATCATAATATAAAACTTAGTTGATA